CTGATTTTCTGTTTAAAAAATAAGATTATCTAGATGAAGCAAGGAAATGATGAAGAAAGAGTAAAATTCCTATCAGCTAATGGCTATACAGACAGAAAATACTTTTCATTTATTGCAGCACTGCAGAAGTCCAGGGAGTCTGCATACAGATCAGGTCTCTCAAACAAGATAGCAATCTAACACCTACTGTGGCTGTGTGTCCTTTTCTACATAGATATAGGACATGACCAGAGTTGCTCAGAAATCTGTCTCAGCTGCTTATAAACAGAAAAAAATTCCTTGCCTTAATGGACTACATTATTATGTACTATGAGCATGTACTGATCTAGTGGGGAGACTGAAGGAGACTTTAAGTGTTATTTGGAAGAAATCAGAAAGAGAAGTTGAGTTTGGGACAAAAATGGTGTTGAGAAATTCACTGAGAAACACTGAAGAGTTCATGAGAAAAGTGGGGCAAGGACTCTCAACGAGTCACTTGCTCCATCCACCAGATTTCTCCTGCCTGAAATACAGCTGCCTAATTTAATAGTAACCTCTCATATTTGATTTTGCTGACTTGTTTCTTGAAGTAGGGTAGTCAGAAGACATTTGGGTAAAGATTGTTTAGGAAGATGTTTATGATGTAAATAGGGAGAAGAAAATATTTATTAGGAAGTACTAATCAAGACTAAACACAGTAAGATATGTGTAATCCTCTGGCTATAGTTATCTCAGCCCTTTCCATTAATATTTACACCAGAAGTACTGAAGGCTTAAGTGTGAAGGGTGAAAAATGGACTTGCAAAGAGAACTAGGGAAAAAAAAAGAAGAAATTCATTTCCTAATCTTTCAGATTGGCAACTTGAGACTGCTTTTTCTGTCCTATCATTTGTCACCTGAGAAAAGAGACCAACATCCTCCTTGTTGTCACCTCCTTCCAAGTAGTTTTAGAGATAATAAGGTCTTCTCTCAGCTTTTTTTTACAGACTTAACAACTCCAGTTCCCTCAGTCAATGCACATAAGTTATGTTTTCTGGTCCCATCACCATACTCACTGCTCTTTTCTGCACAAATCTGAGCAAGAATTCTTATAGTGAGGGGAGCAAAACACGTTTGAGGGACAGTACCGAGGGACAATCACTTCTTCAGTCCTCTGGCAACACTATTTCTGTTAGAAAGTCCAGGTTGTCCATTTTGATCACCTGTTGACGAACACCTGAGGTCCTTTTCAGCTAGGCAACTTTCCAGCCAATGGAATGTCCACAAGTCCAAAATCATAATATCACTTCTATTTTAGCTGGTAAAAGATAATGATCATTTGATTTTTAAGGTTTCATAATTTAAAAGATGTTCATAAATACAGCCGTCTAACAGGAGGTATGCAGAAATGCAAAATTTTCTGTCTAGCTTTCTTCATAAATTTAAAACTTAACTAAACACTGAGCTTTGTGTTAGTAGTAAGGACTAGTAAATCATTTTGTTCTATGATCCCTTATATTTTCTTTCTAAGGAAAGATAACTTTTTGAAAATCTTCTGGAGTCATGAGCAAATTATCTTGATGGGATACCAAAATTGATGAGAAAAACCTCAGTTGATCCCCAATGCTTTCTATTGTCTCTAAAGGGCTATTTACATTGGTTGTGTTTTTGTTGTTGTGTTTTTCCTTTCTGTTATGTGAATTTTCTGTATTTCCACTGATTCAAAGGCAAGAGTGAAAAGCACATTTTGGATTGAAGTTGAGGATTGCCTAGTGATGTGAAATATGAAATTTAATACATTTAATATATTTTCATATAAAATGAATCTGTTCTGTTCTAAGCAGATATGAATGAGAGCATTGACATTTAGGTTTGTATGGTTAGTCTTTTGATTTCATCTTTGACCTTCATTTGAAAGCACAAGAAGTGATTTTTATTGAGAAATTTTAATTAAATCTCCAGCTAAAATTTTGAGTATTTCATTGTAATGTTCTAAATCAGTGATTTTTTGGGGGTTCTGAATTATATAATACTTTAATAACAATTGTGTCAGACAAAATCTGAGCTGATAAGCAGATGCTAGCACATTTCAGTCACTTTGAAATGAAAAGCTAAGAAAAATGACACATCTATAATTTTGATTTGATAACAGCCTTTGTAATTTACCTGGTTTTGACTCTTATAGAGTTCAAGTTTACTCTCTTGTATTTATATATTTATTATCGCTGAAAAAGAATTGCAGCAGATGGTCACAATTCTGATTGTATTTGAAATAAAGAAATGTAACTTTTTTTACGGCTATTTCTATTTGAAATTAGAAATTAATTGTAATGCTCTTGTTAATCTTGCAGTGACATTTATTTTTGTATGCATACCTCAGTGATGTATCAGAATTTTAGCAAAACTGCATTTCCTTTCTAACTAAGTAAAAGCACAGAGAATCATAGATCTCAAAGGCATCAGAAAGATCTCATATGCATTAGTGTTTTAAACTGGGGATTGAACAGAAAAGTAGTTCTTAGTGGGTATATTGAAAAAGGAAGATTGTCATATTATTTCAAAAAATTTAGTCAAAAAGGCCTCTCCTTCTACAGCTAAGGAGTCCTGAGTGTTCACCTTGCTGTTGAGAGTGGTCTTATGAGTGGCAATTGCAAAGACCCTTTGTGAAAACAATAGCTGAGCTGGAAGACCCACCTAAACATAATGTCAGTGGTTTCAAGGATGTTGATCTGATGATTGCCTCTGAGCTACTTTTGACTCATCCAGCCCCAAAATTAGTTTATCCTTTTCCTGTACATTGAAATTTGCCACCTGGGTCTCCAGTAAGTCCTGTTTCAGGCTTATCCTCAGCACCTGATATAAGGCTTTGTCTGTAGAAGAAAATCATTGTGGTTTGGATCCATGACTTAGTTCTAACTGAAGTGGCTGTGATTTCCCACTTTCTGTTTCTGGTTGGTACTGAATGTTCTGCATTTCCTATATTTCAAAAGAGATACAGGAAATTCAGACAGCTGTCTTCCTATGAAGAAAAATCTCCGTAATTTTTCTTGAGACAGTTAACAATTTTTGGTGAAACATGAGGTCATATTTATTCATCTTGGTGTATTTTTTTTTATTCAGGATTTCCTCCCAGACTTGAAAATCCAATAGATATCACTGATTTGCCACACAATTTTATTCCCTTAACTTCAATCTGGAGAGACTTTCTCTTCAGTATAAGACAAATGCAGTACAGTAGATTTTAGCAGAAACTGGAGATTCGTTGACATAAGAGCAACATTGGCCCTGCAAGACCCAGCTGCTCTTGCCCATTCCCAGGACACCACACCAGATACACACTTTCAGCCCACGACCCAGAGAGGTCAAAACAGGGCCTGGCTGTATCTCTCCAGAGCCCTGCACAGGCACGGCTCCTACACATTTAGGACCACCTGCAGACCCACAGACAAAATTTGGTCCAGACCTAGCCCCAGAGAGGTGCCAGGGGCTGGGGTTGTCCTGGTGACCCAAGTGCCCTGCTTCTGGTGGGACACAGTTTATTGAGAGTTCGGAGCAGTTTTCAATTTTTATTCATTTATTTATCTTTCTTCTTACATTGGGATTAATATCTCTTCCTTCATGTTCATACCAAACCAAAGGAATTCTGAATATAAGACCCTGCTACACTGCTCGGGTTTTGCTTTGCTAGTTTATTTTAGGAAGAAAATATGAAAAAAAATTGAATTTGTTTTGGTTTTCTTTTTTCATGAAACAAGAAAGCAACACTATTTTAAACTGTTTGAGAGGGAAGAATGCTGTGAAGGAATAGGTTATAACACTGCCTTCTTTTTATTGAATAATATTTTATTTTTAAAAGTTTAAGTTAACAAGAAGCATTTCAGATTTCCCTATTGCCTTTCTCCTTTCTTTTCCACTGTTATTATTTTTTAGTATATAAATGCTGCATAATTATGCTCCACACCAGCTGGCTCATTATTGCACTCCTTATAGAGCCGTTTATATAAACAGTAATGTTCATACTCACAGGGTGTGTTTTTTTTGTTTTTTTTGTTTTTTTTGTTTTCTTTTTTTTTTTGAATAGTTGAGAAATCAAGTGATCATTATGTAGATTCAGAAAAACTTTCACTTGTTTTTCTGGTAGTCATCCATATATCAGTTTCTGGTCCTGTAAAGTCAGTCTCAGTTGGAAACAGCAGATGCATTTTGTTTCCTTAGTATTTAGCTCTATAGCTATAAGAATACCTTGAACTTGTCAACTAGCAGAAGAATGAGAACGTTTACAATTTGGACACTATTGATTAACTGATCCATCTCCAGCAGCTGTGAAGAAGGAACTGTGATAAGTCTGTCAATGCTGAACAATTTCACAAGGAAGAAACAAATTATTCCACATTGCAAGGGTATTCAAATGCTAATTTTTCCAATAATGATGCTGACAATGAAACTGATACCTCTGAAGATTCGCGGTTCCTTAGTTCCTCAAGACTAGAACAGCATTTCAGATTTGGCTTAAAATACTTATTTAAAAAAAATTCCAGTACAGAAGATTTCATGTAATAATTGTCATTGTCCCCTGTTTAAATCAGGTGGGAAAACCCCAGAATTTTCCGGAATTCCAAACTGTTTCATTTGCTTATGTTGTTACTTATGTACTTGCACAAGGGAAACAATAGATGGGACTAATGGCTTGTCCTTCAGATAAGATGCAAATAATAAATTCAGTGATTTCTAGTGTGTTTGTAATAATAGATAGGGCTGATGAGAGGCAGTCCATTTAACTGAGACCAGAACTGGATTCTGACTTTTTAAAATTACTTTTGGTGGGAATTGAAAATTTAGAAATAAAAGGGAAGTTTCTACCCACCATTTAAACAATATATGTGTCAAGATAGATAGTGGTTAAAGCAAATTAATTATTATACAAATTATAATTCTTATTGTTTTTATGTGAAGGATATGTTAAGATCATTTACCAGACTTTCCATATTATATTTATACACATTTGAAGTATAGCTCCCAAAATATTGTCTGCTTCTTTCTAGGGTTTTGAGAGGATAAATGCAGAAGTGTTTGAGCTGACAGGATGCTCTGATGACAAGACACAAGTTAACTACGAAGGGAGAATGAAGATGCTCTTCCTTCTTTTCTTATACACAGAGCCTGCCTTTGTTTCCTCCTGAATTAGTCTGGTCTTAACCAGTATTTACTTTCATACATTGATCTATGGCTTTTCTCTTCCTCTGCACAACTTTATTTTAGGACCCTATAACACTAGAAGGTCAGCTAAAATATTCTTGCCTTTATTTTTATCGAATATTTCACATAAATGCTAACATATACAATATGTCAGGCTCTTAATCCAGTCAAATGATTACAAATGGTGTTAAGAAGAGAAAACTGCTTTAATGAGTGAATTTTGAGAGCAGAAGATCTTGAAACTCAGTGTTTATGTATTACAACTTTTGATATAATATTTTGCATATGTTTAGGGTGATAAAACAGTAGGACCAGTAGGATTGTCTTTTCATTATTGCATTTTTTTTTTCTTAGAGATGTGGGAAAATGTTCTTGATTAAATGAGTCTGCTTGTAGATTGAGTGGGATGAGTATTCTTCATTTGTAATAGTTGTAAGAAGCTAATAGACTCTGATTACCCTGTTCTAAGCATAAGTGAAGGTCATCTTCTAAAAGTGAAGCAAAAGGAAAAAACATTTTTAGCCAATATTTATGTAATCATTCCATGAAATGAAAAGAAATAGCTTGTTGAAGAATATCAAGGAGATGTCTGAATTGTGAGTAGCATGACTAAGAAAAAAAAACCAACAGGACATTAAATCACTGCTGACCACATGTTGAAGCTGTTAGTAAAGATAACATTTTCTCTTGTTAGGTTCCTAATCTATTCAAGAAAATAGGGTTTAGGATATAATTTTTTAAAAACAACAAAATATCAAAGATATCAATTTTCTTCCTTCCCTGCAACAGAACAAATGGGGCCCTGAATTTTAGGTAACTGCATGTCTGAGTGAATGGTCATAGACACCTTTGAAACTCACTGGTTTATTTCACAAACATTAATTTCAAAAATATACTTACAATTACATCATGCTGTTTTTTGAGCCATCAACATGGAATTAACAGCTTCGAATAATTCAATTCCTAACTCATATTACAGAATAATATCCACATGCTTTCTTTGCTTTGGTAACTCAAAACTGTAATACAGTGAGGTCTGTAGGATTAGAAACACTCTTCTAAAGCAGGACACTATGATACCCGAGCTTCAGAAGAGTTCGCACAGTTCAGAAAAAAAATAGAATTAGTTATTAGTTATTAACAACATAGTTCCTATACAAAAAGTATTGAGAAGAACGATTAGTGTTATATTAATTTTTCTTAGTCAGCAAAATACTAAGTGCTTTATTGACAAATAATCAGTTTCTCCAGAGTGCAGATAGACTTCTGTGGGAGAACCAAAATCATGTTGACTTAAGCTTTTTAAAAATAAAGTAACAATATTAGAAATTTGAAGATTCTCCTCTTTATGGAAATATAATAGGTAAGTCAACATCAGTTGTGATACCATGGATAACATTTTCGCTGTTCTGCTGCAAATATACAAAGCATATCAAGTTTCCAAATATGCTTTCTGCATACCCATTTACTGCTGATCAAATGAATGGAATATATCCTTCTGACAGAAATTTCATATGGACATTTACCCTGGGAACTCTTAGCATAAAACATAACCTAAATATTAATAAGAACAAATGTTCAGAATGTGGAACAGGTGTTAAGGCATGCATCCTGCAGATAGAGCTTGTAGTAGCTGCTAAGTTAAATCCTCTTAAACATCTATAACATATTACCTTCTCACTGTTAGACTGTTCCAAAAGAATCAGAGCACTGAGTGCTGAGTTTCTTTTATTACTCTCATGTTTCTTTGAAGAGAGCAAGCAGATTAGGTTGGACTACCTCTAAGTTGTACTAAAAAATAATGCTAAATGTCATAAAATTAAGAATGAAGGAAATGAACAACTGGAAATCAATGGAAATGGAACCTGAGGGACTTGAGGGAGCAGCATGAAGCTGCATCATATGAAGTTCAGATCAAATTTTAGGAAAAGATTCTTCACAAGAGGGTAATTGGGCACTGCAGCAGTCTCTCCAGGGCAGTAGTCACAGCCCCAGGGTGGCAGAGTTCAATTAGAATTTGGATGATGTTCTCAAAAATATGGTTTGATGTTTACATGGTCCTGTGTGGAGCCTGGAGTTGGACTCAGTGATCCTTGTGGGACCCTTGCAACTCAAAATTATTCTGTGGCACAGCAGTTCTTCAATTCCTTGTCAAGGTGCTGCAACTGTTGGCTGTTCCCTTCAGGTTGTGAGCCAGAAAACATAAAGGATCTTGAGGCTGGCAGAGAGCTGGCCTTGCCAAGTAAAGCCTGTCTCTTAACTCACGATGAGGCCATATATTTCACTTGAGTGCTGATGGTTTCAAACTGCTAATACCAGTAATTTTGAGATATTTCTGTGCCGGACTTGGAACTGATAGTAAATCTTTTAGCAGATTGACTTTATTATAGTTAAAATCTGGATCTGTGTAATCTGAGGAGGATTTTCTAGATGGGGAAAGAGTGATACTCTTTGGGATCAATATGGTAGTGCTGAACTTTTAGAATCAATACATATGGTCACCACTAGTGGGAAAAAAAAAAAAGAAAAAAAAAGACTTTTCTTCCTTCCCTTACATATTTCTAGAAAAATAGTAAAATAATTCCTATTGATAAATGTAGGTTTTCATGAGCACTTATGACTGCAAGCACAAGCAACCAACCAATCCTATTGTGCCAATAGAAAGTAAGTTTTTAGAATAAACTATCTTTCAGACTCTCTGGAATGTGGAAGAATGCATTGGTAAATCTGGAGAGTAAAAGAAAAAAGAAAACAAGACTTTGGTTATATGTTTAGTTTGAAAGTCATTGAAAATGTAAATTGTAAGAGAGATGACTCAATTTCTTTTCCATTTTTTTCCAGCATGCATGATACCACAAGGTCCACTGTGCTATTGCTATTGCTATTGCTATACTTAGTCAGCCAAAACATTATGCTGAAAACTGCATGAAGCCAGTGCTATTTTTTTGGGCTGAACTGTTGTATCACAGAGGTTTAGTTAACCTTGTTCCCTCTAACAGTACCATAAAATAAAAAATTGTGTGAACAGAATAGGTACTGTAACTGAAAATATAATTGTAAATTATTTCTTTTTTGCATTTTTAGGACTATATATCAGTAAGTCAGAAAATGATCAAAGTAACACTAGGCCATTACCTAAAACTGAACAACCACTCATATGCAGAGGACTGGCAGAAAACAAAAAGCAGTTAAAACCATGGAACCTATACTGTTTTTTTCTCCTTTCTGGAAAGACAGCATTCATCATGTGATATGTATTTGCAATTAAACAACAATCTTATTTTTTTCTGAAGTCTGTGTAGCTCAATCCATTGAAACATTAATGAAGCTTCAGTTAAACAGTCAGTTATGCTGGAATTGATATGCAGAAGAGTTTGGCAGTATCTTACCAAACCTAAATATCAGGGGAGCCTTAATTTTTATAGAGTGAGTAGTTACAAAAACAAGCAAACAAACAAACAAAGACCAACAAGGCAATGTGATATTAAACTTGCAAGCACTTGAAAAATCATAAATCACAGAATTGTAGGGGTTGGAAGAGACCTCTGGTGATCATAGAGTTCAACCCTCTGCTATACCAGGTTGTCTACAAGAAGTTGTACAGGAAAGCTTCCAGGCAGGTTTTGAATATCTCCAGAGAAGGAGACTCCACAGCCTCTCTGGTCAGCCTCTGATAATAAAATTCAGCAACATAAAATATTAAAATAGCACATTGTCCTGAAGCCATTAGCAAGACAATCACTTTAAAAGCCATTTATTCAAGGCAGCTGGCAAAATCTTGTTGTGATGTCCCTAATTCATCCTCATCTTTATATTCTCATATTCAATTCCTATGTTCCACATGGAACCACGTACAAAATGCACTACTATTGAACACTGGAGGAAAAAGAGCAAGACTTTTAATGTTCATAACAACCCCAGAAATACTCACACAGTAGAATAACATTAACTTCTGAAAATATACTAAATGTTTGAAGTCAGAAAATCATACTAAAAGTGCTACTAAAATTAACAGCCAGTTTACAGATGGTAAATAGGCTGAGATAATAATAAGTTGACCTAGGTGTTCGAAAGCTGTGCTACAGATGCAGTGAGGAATAAAAATCAATGTATTGAAACAGTTACAATTCACTGATGCTCAACATCCTACTTTGTTTCACTGACCACAGAAAACTTTGCAATGGTTTCTGAGTGGATATTTTTAGCTTGGTACTGTAACACGAACAGATTCTTATTTGAGCATCATAATGTACTGGAAAACTGAGATGTTTCAGGACCTGCTTTGTGAGCCATTCTGCCTTATGAATAGCCACGATAGCTAAATTTTCATCATAAAATACAAAAATCTTTTTAGTTCAAAACTCAAGTTTCCACTAAAAGTTGTGTTTCTTTGCTTTACTGTTTGCTTTATTCTTCATTGCTTTTCATGTTATCATTTTCTTCTAAAACATATTCCTTCTTATTAAGTTCCAGTACTTGAGGACAGTGCCCTGTTTCCATCTTTCTTTCCACTTCACACACTTCATGTGTGATTGTTTGCATGTGCTTTTTTTGCTGACTTTTTTAAATTTGCTATTGAAAATTTTCTGTTTAAAGGGAAGAATATGGGAGGAAGGTGAATGGAGGGGAAGAGGTCTTAGAAAATCTTACTCCTCCTTTTTTTCATATAAAATTAATTTGATATGATCACTGTAATTGTTTGAATATCTAGATTGGGTATCTGATGATATAACATTGTTGCAATGCTGGCGGATAGTCAAATTTCTACAGAGGCTCTGAGAGACCTCTAGAAAATTGCTTTCATTAACCACAGATAGAATACATGTAACACTTCTTCCTTTCTCTGCTCTTTCACAAAGCAAGTAGCAATTAGTATATTCTTCTCAGTTTCCCCCAAGAGAACAAGAAACCTGCAGGATGCTTTCTCCAGTCTGCTTTCTTTCAAACATCATACATCAGAAAATGTTCATAAATAACATGTCTTGCAAATTAATGAGACAGTGTTTCTTTCTCCATTTGCATCCCTGCAAGGAGACAGCTTGAGACCTGTCCCGTGCTCATTGTTCCTTTCTTGCTCGAAAATAAATAAATAATGTAAATTACAGTTAATTTTTATCAATAATGTGAATCAAAAATAACTGAGGCGATATCTTGGTGAATCTGGACATCATTTGGGTATGTGTATTATCATGCATACAGAATGTTCAGAGAACTGTAGTGTTAGTATTTTAATGTATTGTCATTAGTGTTGTGAAATATGGAGGTTATTTATCACAGACAATATAGTAAAAGCAGCTTCAATTACTTCTTTCACTTGTGCCTGTCTTTAAGGTCAAGCAAGAAAACTCCACTTTCAAAAGTTTATTAAACAGAGAACATTTGATAGCATTTCCATGGCA